TCTATTCTATTCTATTCTATTCTATTCTATTCTATTCTATTCTATTCATAGTTGCCCCACCTATTTTACTGAAGGACAGGAAGGAAATAATGTTTGATGCTTTACCTCAGGGTTTCTGTAGGAAGCGTGGACTTCAATTCCCAGAATTCCCCAGCAAGCCATGTTGGCTGGAGAATTCTGGGAGTTGAAGTCCACGGGTATTGAAGTTGTCCAGGTTGGGAAACCTTGCTTTACGTCCACATTTTAACAATCTTTTAAACCTTCACGGCACATTTCCCTTCTAGAAGATGAAGGGGTATCTGCAGTTACGTTGGAGGAGCCAGGGCTGTCTCACAAAATCTCCCCCTGATTTTTGTGTTGTAATGCAGGGCTGTGGAATTCTATGCCATCCCAAAAAACTTAGTCCAATTTTAGAGTCACTAGGCAAATGGACAACAGATAAAAGCCAAATAAGATTTTATGTGTGGGATAACTTTAATCATGTCATTTCATAACCCCTGTATATCGGGAAATATACAGCTAGCCCTCAATTTACCACCATGAATTTAGCAACTGTTCGAAGTTACAGCATGACTGAAAAAATGTGACTTATGACCGTTTTTCACACTTATGGCCATTGCAGCGTCCCCCCTGGTCACGTGATCAAAATTTGGCAACTGACTCGTATTTACGACGGTTGCACTGTCCCTCTGACCAGCAAAATCAACTGGGAAGCCAGATTCACTTAACAACCATGATGCTAACATAACAAGTGCAGTGATTCGCTTAACAACTGCGGCAGCAAAGGTTGTAAAATGGGGCAAGGCTCACTTAACAACTGTCTTGCTTAGCAACAGAAATTATGGTCATAAATCAAGGACGACCTGCACATTTAATTGCGGATCTGTTCACATGACTGTGGATGCCATCTTGGCTTTTCTTTTTTTTTTTTGACCAAATTTCTACTCAACAAATACCATTTTTTTATACTGATGCTAAAAAGTGGGAAGGAGACCAGCAAAGAAAGGATAATAACCTCCCCTTAAAGCCCATGAGAAGTTATTAAAATACTTTTTTCAGTTGCCCCTACTCTCATCTCTTTTTTTAAAAAAAGTTTTTTATTTTGAACACATTAAAACAAAACATAAAAACACAACATTTATATACATATCACTTATTCCTTCAGCTATTTCCAGGTGATCCTTTCTTGCTATTTACACATATTTTACCTTTTGTCTTATTCAACAATTTATTTTCTATTTTTCTTTATTTTATCTACATTGCTCCTTGATCTTCAACATTTTTTCCCCTCTTTCCTTTATTCCTCTTTCTCATTTTTCCTATTTTCCAACCATTCATACCATCTACACCATATTTTGTAATATTCTGTATCCCCTTTCTCCTTGAGTTCTTTTGTTAATTTGTCCATCTCTGTGCATTTTAAAATTTTTCTGATTAAATCTTCTTCTGATGGTAGGTTTTCCTTCTTCCAATTTTGCGCATAGATTATGCGGGCTGCTGTCAGTATATGTAATATTAAATAATGTATTTCCTTGGTATGGTTTTCTATGGAAATCCCTAGTAGAAATTGCTCAGGTTCTCCCTTTATTGAATTCTGAATTATTTCTTCTATCCAATGTTTAACTTTAGCCCAAAATTTCTTTGCCACTGGGCAGGTCCACCAGAGGTGATAATATGTTCCATAGTTACTCTCATCTCTTTTTTGATATGATCCTCCTCCTCCCCCAAATTTCTAACACGCAAGACGGTCTTTTAGACATTTAGGAAAGCTACAGTAGGCAAAGAATCAGAAAATGAGAAATAAATAGCTAATTTGTTTTTCTTAAACAGGGAGGTAATTCATGAAACGGCTTCCCCTGGATTTGAAATTATCAATTTAAAGAATAAGTGCAAAGATGAAGATGCTGAATCCCCACACAATTTGTTTAACTTCACTGAACTATCTGGAGTTGGAAGTAATAAATTTACCCAGGATCCTCCTCACTCCGGAATAATTAAGGTCTGCTAATTAACTGTTTTATTATTATTTAAATTTGGAAAATGGAGTGCCTATTCAAATATAATCAGGAGAGGAAGTGCAGTGAGGGAAATGTTTCCCACTAAAGAAGCATTAAAACAGGTCAAAATTTAATGTGGAGACATGTAAGTATCTTATCTGTATCAGCAAAAGTGTTATCAAAAATATCCTTCAAATCAGAATTTTAAGTCTAGGGCATTTGTTTTATTAAGAAGCAAAACCAATACATTTATTCAGAATCATCCCAAAACTGATTTCACTGTGCATTAACCTAATATAAATTCTTTGAGACTCTGGCACATTTCAGGACCACTATAGAGTTGCTGGCTGCACGGTGGCTCAGTGGTTAAGATGCTCGGTTTGTCAGCTGGAAAGCTGGCAGTCCAGGTTCGAGACCCGAGTGCCACACGAAGGGGTGAGTTCCCGTCCTCACCTCAGCTTCTTCCGACCTAGCAGTTCGAAAGCATGCAAATGTGAGTAGATAAATAGGTACCACTTCAGTGGGAAGGGAACAGCGCTCTGTGATGTCATGCTTGGCCGGATGACCACGGGAATGTCTTCAGACAGTGCTGGTTTAATGGCCTTGAAACAGAGATGAGCAGCGCCACCTAGAGTCAGCAACGTCTAGTGGAGTAGTCCCCCTTTTCCTAAGGAAGAACCATAAATATAAAATTAATGGCACTTTTATACTTGAGAGATAGCTATAGGAACACAATTTTTAAAAAGCCTGCTTTTTAAAAAAAAAAAATCAGGAAGTCCTCAACTTATGACCATTCATTTAGTGATGATTAGCAACCATTCAATGTTACGTCTGCATTGAAAAAAAGAGACTTACGACCTGTCCTTCCACTTATGATGGTTGCAGTGTCCCTACAGTTACGTGATCCTGATATTGAGCAGTTGTAAGTCACTGCATTCAATGCCATTGCAACTTCACACGGTCACTAAATGAAAGATTGTAAATCAAGGATTGCCTGTATCACCAGGGTTTTTTAAGGACTACAATTCGTGTACCCAGGGGTGAAATGTAAAATTCGTTACTACCGGTTCTGTGGGCGTGGCTTGGTGGTGGTGGGGGGTAATGTGATGGGTGGGCGTGGCCAATTTTATTTTTTTTTTAACTTTTCAAAGCATTTTTTCTAACGCTTTGAAAAGCCTCTGCCGATCAGGCAACTCAGCTGGGATCGTCAGAGACTTTTCAAAGCATTTTTTTTACCATCTCTTCGGCCAAGAGGTTGCAGAAAAAAATGCTTTGAAAAGCCTCTGACGATCCCAGCTGAGCTGTGCAATCATCAAAGGCTTTTTTTCTTACTTTTAAAAGCATTTTTTCGTTGGAAGAGGTTGTAGAAAAAATGCTTTTAAAAGTTAAAAAAAAAAACAGCCTCTGATGATCGGGCAGCTCAGTTGGGCATGGTGGGGGGGAGCCGCAGGGATTTTTGCTACCGGTTTTCTGAACCACTCACCGCCATCGCTAATGGATCAGGTGATCCAGTCCGAACCGGGAGCATTTCACCCCTGCCTGTACAGCTCTGGAGTGATTCAGAAGTTGTTGAAAAACATTAGAAAAAAATCACAGTAAGGAAAAATAATATGGCAATCAAATTCAGGTAATCCTCAATTTACGACAGTCCATTAAATGCGTGTTCAAAGTTACAACAGCACTGAAAAAAGGAAGTTATGACCATTTTTCACACTTACGACCTTTGCAGCATCTCTATGATCACATGATCAAAATTTGGACCCTTAGCAATCGGCTCACATTTATGACGGTTGCAGTGTCTAGGGGACATGTGATCCCGTTTTGCGATTTTCTCATAAGCATAGTCAACGAAGAAGCCCGATTCACTTAACAACCGTTTTACTAACTTTAAATACCACAACGATTCACTTAACAATTGCGGCAAGAAAAGTCATAAAATGAGGCAAAATTCGCTTAACAACTGTCTCGCTTAGCAACAGAAATTTTGGGCTCAATTGCAGTCATAATTCGAGGACTACCTGTAAAAGTATGTTCCTTTAAGCTTTTAGGAAATATAGATTTGGAAAATATAACAGACGGAAGCGTGCAGAGACAATATATTCTGAATACCGTCATCCAAGATGTTTCTGACCCTTTCTTTTCTGGTTAGTATTAACTTTCCTTCTTGTCCCCTTCTTCCCTAACTCTTTTTCTGGAAAAAAATTATCTTTAAATGAGTCTAATATTTCTGTGTCATCTTTCACATTTTTCTTACTTGCTGTATTTACAGAACTAATCTACATTTATATCAACATTCAACCGGTGAACGAGTTTGATCCAGTCTTCGGTAGCTCTTTGTACATTTTTAACGTATCTGAAATAGTACCAGGTAAGTTACGATGGCTTTTTCAGAAATTTACAAGCCTGTAAAATAGAATTCTCTCAAATTAATGCTGATTCTACCCCCTTGTTCCATATCAGCCACACAGTTAGTTTTATTGGGGTGAATGTTTCTTTAAGACCAAATAAACCACTGGAATGAAGTGTTTGAACCTTCTTCAGAATCTAATATATTTTATTTATTAAAAAAAAAGTTTTTTAAACTTTCTGGCTATCAAGAAAACACACAAAAATCTGTTACTATCGCAATGTACTGTATTTTTCGGAGTATAAGACGCACCGGAGTATAGGAAGTTAGCACCTACCCCTTTCCTAGAAGAATGAAATATTTTGGGAAATATTAAAAAGGCAGAATATTATGTTTCCCTGGATGAGAAATGGAGAAGGATGTTTTAAAGACAAAGCAGCTCCCACCTTCCTGCCCCCACCCTTTTGTTAATGGGCCAGAGGCAGAAACTCAATCTTTGTCAATGGACCTCATCTGCAAGACAATGGGGCCCATCTAGCAACAGAAACTGACCACATGGCACCTGGGAAGATTACATCAGCCAGCAGGGCTAGCTAAGACCCCCACCCCCTGGGAGTCTGACAACCAATCAGGATACTCTTTCTGGGCCCCAGGAAGTTCAAAGTCAGAGAGGGCATAAAACCCGGGGACTCGCTGTATCTGCCCTTTTCTGTTCAGGAACTCAAGCCATGTGATCCTGTCCACCATTAAACCATCTTTCCAAGCAGTCTCCATGTTTCCAGTGTCTTTTTCCCCACTTGGAGCAGAACCCAGAAGGATATTTCTGTCCAACTCCTTGAGGAGCACCCGGAGGCTCCAACTGGCGCAGAGTGCGGCCGCGCGGGTGGTAATGGGAGCGACATGGCGCTCCCATGTAACACCTCTCCTGCGCGAGCTGTACTGGCTCCCGGTGGTCTTCCGGGTGCGCTTCAAGGTTTTGGTTACCACCTTTAAAGCGCTCCATGTCTTAGGACCTGGTTATTTACGGGACTGCCTACTACCACCAATAGCCTCCCACCGGCCAGTACGCTCTCATAGAGAGGGACTCCTCCGGGTGCCGTCAGCCAAACAGTGTCGACTGGCGGCCCCTAGGGGGAGAGCCTTCTCTGTGGGGGCACCTACCATCTGGAATGAGCTCCCCCCGGAGATACGGAGGATCCCGGATCTGCGCTTAAATGCTGGGAGTTGAAGTCCACAAGTCTTAAAGTTGCCAAGGTTGGATATCCCTGCTGTAAAATAAAGAATGTGGCTTGAGTCACATGGGTACCCTTGCTTTATAGATTTGTGTTAAAAACGGGTCTTTCAAGGTTCCGACGGATGCCCTAATAATTAAATCATGAGTCTTGAGCCAAGTTTCAAAAGAAATCCAGTCATTTATTAGCAGCTTCATGTTGGCACATTCCCAAGTGCAGCCAGCTCTGACCCTACGTAATTTACGCTCCAAGTATGACCCTGTTTCCCCCCTCCGTCCAAGGTGTGTCATCAATCACATTAGCAACGGAGCAATTTCGTAGATTGTAGAGGTCACTCCCCTTCGACTGCTGTAGGTATCCCTGGGATACAACCTTGAGGGAGATAAGCGTGGAATGTACATCTGTTTTTGGCTGCTGTGCAGTTTCACCAATTTCCCATTCCCCCCGGCCTATGGCAACTCGAGAGCAGGCCAGGGATGTTTTGCGAGTTGACAGGGTCAGGGTTTGACCACACAGTAGCTACCATTTTGACTTTTTTGACCCCCTGGTCTGAAGCCCTGTTTTAGAAAAATTTCTGAAGGCTGCACAATCTCTAAACACACCACACACACTCTAAAACTACCTGCGTGCCATCTTAATGTGCTGCTGTTTCATTTCAGCAAACTCTTTGATCGGAACAGTGCTCGCTACTGACAAGGATTTGCCTCCCACCAGAATTTCTTACTCCATTTTGTCCGGAAAGAGCGGCGGGGGTGTCACAGATTTATTTGTAATTGATTCACAGTTGGGCAGTTTGAAGAACACAAAGCGATTAGACTATGAAACACAGCGGGTACACACTCTTGTAGTCCAAGCTTCTGACAACGATGGCAGGATTGGAAATTCCTCCGTGAGTAAACTAGCGAGCTTAAAACAGGGTTTATTGTCCTTTGCGATCTACTTTTCTTGCCTCTTTATGGTAAACACAGTAGGACTTGCCGGAAGTGGCATTTGTAGAAGCAAAATGTGCACTGAGGTGGGAGGATGAGGTGGGGATGGAGCAGGGGTGGGTTCTACTTACCTTTACTACTGGTTCGCAATGGGAGCGCGCATGCGCAGATCATCATTTATGATGTCCAGGCGGGTGGGCGGAACCTCCCGCTGCTTTTACTACCTGAACAACCGGGAGCAACCCACCACTGGGGTGGAGTTAAACAAAACATCAGCCTAGAATTGTTACGAGTTGTCACAAACAGTCAGGATCATACATTAAGTTGCAGTTAAAAAGATTTCTTGATCCACAAGAAACTAGTTCTGTGATGGTGAACTTATGGCATGCGTGCCACAGATGGCACGTGTAGCCATATCAGTGGGCACGCCAGCTTAGCTCTGGCGTGCATGCGCGCGCTGGCCAGCTGATTTTCAGGCCTTCTGGGCCCACCAGAGGTAGGGAAACAGGCTGTTTCCTGCCTCCAGAGGGCCTGGGGGGGAGGGAAGGCCTCTCCTAGAAAGGCTCTGGAGGCTGGGAACAGCAAAAAAGTCACTTCCTGTCCCATTGGGAGTTGGGAAATGGGCCATTTCAGGCCTCCGGAGGGCCTCCGAGGGAGTGGGGAAGGCTGTTTTCGCCCTCCCCAGATGCATAGAAAGGATCTGGAGCCAGGTGAGAAAGAAAAACAGGCCTACCTGGCCATCGCGTGTCAGGAGTGGGGGTGGGAGGAGGGGTTGCACGTGCATGCGCAGGGTGGGGCGGCATAGAATTATGGGTGTGGGCACACACGTGCGCGAACCTCCCCCGCCGCCCCCCTCCTGGCATGAGGTGGCAATAAGGTTAGCCACCACTGCCCTAGTTAATTAAAGTTCAGTACTAAATTAGCGCCAGATAAGGGTCAAAGGAATTCAAATAGGGTTGGATTCAGACCATTTGTAACAACGTAACAACTCTAGTCTGATGACTCATTTAACTCCATCCCCCAGCTCTGCCTGTTCTTCTGCTCTCCTGCTACAATTCATTTGTATTTTGATGTTCTTTTATGTTTAAATAACAAAAAAAAAATATTTTAAAAAGAGAATATATTACTAGAATATATAATACTGTCTTGTACGGAAAGCTGGATGGAAGTGGATGTGATCAGAGGTGGCATCCAATTGGTTCGTACCGGTTCAAGCGAACCGGTAGCGGAGATCGCGGATGGGTCCGAACCCCTGCCCCAGCTCTATGCCACCCTATTTAGGCACATTTTCAAGGCCGGACACATGCGCAGAAGGCACACACACACACGAAGCGTGCCTGCGCTCGTGGGGCGAACGGGTGGTAAGAATATTGGAAACCCACTGCTGCATGTGATCTCCCAAGATCAAAGACATTAAGACATTATGTTGCTTTAGGCGAAGGATAAAGGGTTGCTGCTTCTCCTTGAACTATTTCCTCAAGGTGATAAATTACAATAGGTTTTATTCCAAGCTGTTGGTCCTCTAACAACTTGCCATGACTTCTTGTTCCTTAGCATCCGTTGCTCAGACCAAGTGTTCTGTTGCATCTACTGCAAGAGCCAGCCCTGAACCTGTAGATTAGAAAACTTTCTTCTAGACCAGGAACCCCCAACTTTTGGGGCATCAGGGGTTGGTTACGTGGAGAAAGGTTTTTCCATAAACCAGAGTCGGTGTAGTTTTGCATGCTGCTTCCATCCCACGGATGCAGCTTCGCTTGTTTGTGTGACCTAGTTCCTGGCATGCCGTAGCCCGGTGCCAGTCCATGGACCGGGGGTTGGGGATCCCTATTCTAGACTCTTCATATTTTTGTTTAGCAACAGCAATAACAATAGCACTTAGACTTATATACCGCTTCATAGTGCTTTATAGCCCTCTCTAAGCGGTTTACAGAGTTAGCATGTTGCCAGTGGTGGGATTGAAATTTTTTTACTATCGGTTCTGTGGACATGGCTTGGTGGGGGTGGCAGGGGAGGGATCCTGCAAAATCTCCATTCCCACCACACTCCAGGGGAAGGATACTGCAAAATCTCCAATTCCACCCCACTCCAGGGGGAAGGATACTGTAAAATCTCCATTTCTATCCCACCCCACTAACCTGCTTTCCAGTTCCGTTCTCCTGTGAAGGGCAACAGAAGACCCAGCTGATCAGCTGAGACTCGATCATCTGGGACTCGGGAGGCAGCAAATAGATTGGGGGCGGAGCCAGCCAGAGGTGGTATTTGCTGGTTCTCTGAATTACTCAAAATTTCCGCTACCGGTTCGCTAGAACCGGTCATAACCAGCTGAATATCACCTCTGCATGTTGTCCCCAACAATCTGGCTCCTCATTTTACCAACCTTGGAAGGTTGAAAGGCTGAGTCAACCTTGAGCCGGTCATGATCGAACTCCTGGCAGTGGGCAGAGTTTGCCTGCAATACTGCATTCTAACCACTGCGCCACCACGGTTCCTTCAAATATTTCTTTAAATATTTCTTTAGGTAATAATAAACGTTCTTGAAGCAAACGATGAACCACCTATATGCACCCCAGATGGACAGTTGCTGGAAGTGCCAGTGGATTTAAGCTTGGGCATTATTAATCGTTTCAGTATTAGCTGCGTGGATCGGGATTCAAGCCCAAAGTCATTCCGATATACTATCACGTCAGGTATTTTATACTTCATCTTTGAATATCTTATCTCATTACCATGTTTCCCTGAAAATAAGATGGGGTCATATATTAATTTTTGCTCCAAAAGACACATTAGGTCTTATTTTTGGGTTAGGTCTTATTTTTGGGGAAATACGGTACTAAATGCATCCATCTGGCTGACAATCTTAACGGGTTTATTTTGGGAATAGAGTTTATATTACGAGCATCCTGAAAAATCATGCTAGGACTTATTTTCTGGTTGGGTCTTATTTTCGGGGAAATGGCAGTGGTAGGTTTCAAATTTTTTTACTACCGGTTCTGTGGGTGTGGCTTGGTGGGTGTGGCATGGCTTGGTAGGCGTGGCATGGCTTGGTGGGCGTGACAGGGGAAGGGTACTGTAAAATCTCCATTCCCACCCCACTCCAGGGAAAGGATACTGTAAACTCTCCATTCCCTCCCCAATCCAGGGGAAGTATACTGCAAAATCCCCATTTCCTCCTGATCATCTGGGACTTGGGAGGCAGAGAATAGATGGAGGTGGGACCAGTCAGAATTTTTACTACCGGTTCTCCAAACTACTCAAAATTTCTGCTACCGGCTCTCCAGAACTGGTCAGAACCTGCTGAAACCCAACTCTGAAACAGGGTAGTTGCTGGTAGAATATATTTTATAACACATGCCGTCCCAAAAGTGCTTTTTCAAGAGGCAACTGGACTTTCTTGTTTTACTTGGAAGACTTCCCTCTTCAATAGCTACCATTTTGACCTGAGTTATTTGTAAAAATAATAAAGGCAAGATGCTCCCTAAATTTATGTATTTGTATCAATACCCAAAGAAATCCTTTCAATGCAGGAGGTGACACTACAATCCAAACTTACAGTTTGCTCGAGAGTGATATTGTTCATTCTGTTCATACCAAGAATTACTTTATATGTAATTGAAAAAATGGTTTCCTACTTGCAACCTACCACCTTTTTAACCTGCAAGAAGCTAGAAAAGCCACTGACACTTTGTCAAGTATACGTCAGAGGTGGGTTTCAGCAGGTTCTGACCAGTTCTGGAGAATCGGTAGTGGAAATTTTGAGTAGTTCGGAGAACCAATAGTAAAAATTCTGACTGGCCCCATCTATTCTCTGCCTCCTGAGTCTCAGCTGATTGGGAGGAAATGGGGATTTTGCAGTAACCTTCCCCTTCCCTTTTTATTTTTGAGTTCCAAAGTGAATCTGTCCATTTCTGCACAATTGAAGATTTTACATAACACTTCTTCTTTACTCTTCCATTTCTGAGCAAATGCTATTCTTGCAGCTGTTAATATATGTAATATTAGGTAGGTTACATTTTTATTATATTTACCATCTGTCATTCCCAATAAGAAAAAATCTGGTTTGGCTTCTAGTTTAATCGTTAGAATTTCTTCTAGCCAGCTTTTTATTTGGTATCATATCCACCATCTTCCAGTGAATTAAACTTCATTTATCTTTACTCGTTTGGTCTTTGGCTCTGCTTTTAGGTAACGTCAATAACCATTTTGACTTCTCACCAAAGGCCGGTTCTAATATCTCGAGGTTAGTCCTGACCAATCCATTCGATTATACGTCAGGAGTGGACAAAATCTGGGAATACCGGCTGTTGGTTTCCGTAACAGATGATAATCTGTTAACAAGTTCTGAAAGAACTTCAGTCCGTGTTCAAAACGGCACAGTAAAATTAACCATCCGAGTTATTCCAGATCCAACCACTGTGATTCCTACAACGGTAAGTTTGAGCTTTTATACTAATTTGATTTGGGATGAAAGTAATACGCTGATAGTCTGGATTATTTATTGATTTATTTACTGTCATAATGATATATATTATGACTTGACTTACGACCGCAAATAAGCCTAGAATTTTGTCGCTAAGCAAGACAGTTAAGTCAATTTTTCCCCATTTTACGATCTTCCTTGACACAGTTGTTAAGCAAATCACTGCAGTTGCTAAGGGAGTAAGTGTTGTGGCCCATCAGAGGCCTGTGCATCTAGTAGCTGCTTCCGACAACGAGGAGGCTGGTGTGGTGCTGCGCCAGCAGCCTGTGCAGCTGGCGCTCGAGTCGGACAATGAGGAGGCTGGAGAAGATGTGGTGCCAGAGGCAGAGATTCAGCCAGGGCCTTCAGAACCTCCAGAAGCTCCTTTAAGTGAAGAGGATGAAGAGGAGGAGCCTCTTCTCAATGCACGGGAGCGCAGAGCTGCCAAAAGGCAGGAGTGGCTCCTCAGGAGGAGGTCTCCTCTAGAGTAAGGCTTGGGGCTAATTGGCCACTCCCGTAGCCTATTTAAGGAAGGATGACGACTGAGGCAATTTGCAGGGAACAACTTCGTTCACTCTCCTTCATGTCTTGGTTTTAGTTCTTTTATCAGTTTCCTGCAAATTGCTTCTGGGCTTTCTGCCAATCCTAGTAAGATTATGATTATTTATTCTTTGGATTCTTATAGGCTGTTAAGAAAGTTAATTAACAGCCTTTGTTTGAAAAAGACTAATTTAATTTAGTAAACTAAGGTTTGTCAGACTTTGTGTGTGCTGCATTCTTTGGGGTCCGTAGCTGGGGCAGAACAGTAACATGGTTGTTAAGTGAAAGTATGTGGTTTCCCCATGGACGTGGCTTGTCAGGAGGTCACAAAAGGAGGTAATCACATGACCCTGGGACATTGCAACCATCATAAATATGAGTCAGTCGCCAAGGCTCCGAATTTTCATCACGTGATCATGGGGATGCTGAAATGGTTGTAAGTGTGAAAACGGTCATAAGACACTTTTTTCAGTGCCGTTGTAAAGATCACTAAACAAAGTTGTTGTAAGTTGAGGTCTACCTGTACTACCTTAAAATCAATGTTCCTAAATACGTTAATAGTCAAATGAGCTCTCCATTTTTTTCTTTTGAGACTGCTGTTTTTTTTGTTTTGTTTTTTTGCTAGAACAATTAGAACAATTTTGTTTCCAACACCCCATTTTTTTTCTTCCTTACAAGCCTGCTGTGACGATTGTGACCAGCAAAGAAAACGTTTATGCTCGATCGGCTTGGTATGTGCCATTTTTCACACTCCTTGGCAGTTTATTGCTGCTGGGATTGCTCGGCTATCTAACCGTTTTGCTGGCAAAATACCTCCGTTCCTGTTGCCCACCGAAACCCAAAGCGGACACAAAACCACTGTAAGTAGCAATAGCAACAGCACTTAGACTTATATACCGTTTCATACTGCTTTATAGCACTCTCTAAAACGGGGTCCCCAATCCCAGGTCCGTGAACCGGCACAGGGCCACGGCGTGCCAAAAACCGGACCATGCAAACAAGCGAAGCTCCATCCATGGGGTGGAGGCGGCCCACGAAACCACACCCCCTCCAGTCCGCGGGAAAACCTCTTTCCACAGAACCGGTCCCTGATACCCAAAAGGTCAAGGACCACTGATCTAAGATTTAAAATTAACAAAGCAGTTTACAGAGCCAGTGTTTGGACTCAGCTCCCCAAACACGACAAACCCTCGAAAGTGAACTCAAAGATTCCTTTAATTAGGAGTGCCGGCAGCCCCGACAAAAAGTTTCTCTCTCACTGCAGGCTAACAAGTCTGTCCGGCAGGGAGATGAATAATTGTCTGCCACGTCTACTCATCTCCACCCCCTGCCTTTTATCCCCAGAGCTAGAGTGGGGCTTCGCTAGCAGTGGTGGCTCTTCCTTCCCAAGGACCGGCCCATAGATTTCCACTGCTCTCCTCTCCTCTGTCTTCTGCGTATCTGTGCGTCAGGCACTGGACCCAGCTGTTCCTCCTCTTCCTCATCAGCCACCTCCAGACCTGGGGGCTGTTGACTCTCCATCTGACAGCCCAGGCTCTGCCTCTCTCTCTGCCAGCTCCATTCCCTCTTCCCCCTCGGAGCTCTCAGGTTGCCTTGATGCTGACCCTGACTCCCACACCTCCTCCTCCTCCTCTGATTCGCTGCTGGAGGGGCTGATGGCCGACAGTCCACAACAACCAGCATTCTGGTTCTCATTAAGTAGCTTAAAGAAAACCTGCAAATAATAACACAATTATAATACGATGTTTGCCGTGTGCATCCATGTCCTTTTGTTCTGCAATAAATAAATAATCCATATTTCTTAACGAGATTGAAGCAATCCTCCGAAATTTGAAGTCATTGCTGCCCATAACTTTTCAATTCAGCTTTGTTTACTGTATTGCCTAATGACCGTTTTTGCAATAATAATATATTTTTTTTTTAATTTATGACAGGTTGGACATGCCAGGTATGTATTTTCTTGTTTGCTTTTCTTATTCTTAAAACACGGCCGTGTTGTTAATAAGAGGCATAATGTTTTCAAAGTACGTATGATTTTAGTGCAGTTTGACATAGAATCACAGAGTTTAAAATCTAATAGAACAGAATACAAGCAGTCCTAGACTTACAACTGTAATGGAGCATCCCTAAGCCATGATGGTCGTAAAACAAGTTGCTCATGTGGCCGATGCAATTTTATGACCTTGTTTTGCGGCAGTCATTAAGTGAACTCATTGTTTGCCCTGGAGTGGTTTTTTTGCTGAAAACTGGAAGTAAACACTGAATTTTTTTAAGCAAAAATATCGGAAATTGTGGTCACATGACCACAAGACACTGCAAAAGGCCGTAAATGCATGATGGTCGCCAAGTAAGAATCTAGTTTGGCCTAGTGGTTAAGGGAAAGCAGGAGGCTGCGAGTTCAAGTACTCAGCCATGAAAGTCAGCTGGGTGACTTTGGGCCAATCACTAGGAGACGGTGAGTTCTAGTCCCGCCTTAGCCATGAAAGCCAGCTGGGTGACTTTGGGCCAATCACCAGGAGACGTGACTTCTAGTCCCACCTTAGCCATGAAAGCCAGCTGAGGACTTTGGGCCAATCACTAGGAGACGGTGAGTTCTAGTCCCGCCTTAGCCATGAAAGCCAGCTGGGTGACTTGGGCCAATCACCAGGAGACGGTGAGTTCTAGTCCCGCCTTAGCCATGAAAGCTAGCTGGATGAATTTGGGCCAATCACCAGGAGACGGTGAGTTCAGTCCCGCTTAGCCATGAAAGCCAGCTGAGCGACTTTGGGCCAATCACTAGGAGACGGTGAGTTCTAGTCCCGCCTTAGCCATGAAAGCCAGCTGGGTGACTTTGGGCCAATCACCAGGAGACGGTGAGTTCTAGTCCCGCCTTAGCCATGAAAGCCAGCTGGATGACTTTGGGCAATCACCAGGAGATGGTGACTTCAGTCCCGCCTTAGCCATGAAAGCCAGCTGAGCGATTTGGGCCAATCACTAGGAGACGGTGAGTTCTAGTCCCGCCTTAGCCATGAAAGCCAGCTGAGCGACTTTGGGCCAATCACTAGGAGACGGTGAGTTCTAGTCCCTCCTTAGCCATGAAAGCCAGCTGGGTGACTTTGGGCCAATCACTAGGAGACGGTGAATTCTAGTCCCGCCTTAGCCATGAAAGCCAGCTGGGTGACTTTGGGCCAATCACCAGGAGACGGTGAGTTCTAGTCCCGCCTTAGCCATGAAAGCCAGCTGAGTGACTTTGGGCCAATCACTAGGAGACGGTGAATTCTAGTCCTGCCTTAGCCATGAAAGCCAGCTGAGTGACTTTGGGCCAATCACTAGGAGACAGTTGAGTTCTAGTCCCTCCTTAGCCATGAAAGCCAGCTGGGTGACTTTGAGCCAATCACTCTCTCTCAGCCCAACCTACTTCACAGGGTGGTTGTTATGGGGAAAATAGGAGGAGGAAAGAGTATTAGGTACGATGATAGTTATTTATAAAAATAATAATGGCAGGATACAAACAAACAAGTGCCCAAATTGTGGTCACATGACTGTGAGGGAGCCCTCAGAACTTCAGAACCAGTTTATAACTACTTTTTAGGAGGTCTGGCATAGCTTTGAATAGTTGAATAGTTCCTACATGACCAGTTGTAAGTCAAGGACTGTCATATGTGTAGAATATAAGGCTTGTAATGGGCAGTCCTTGTTGCTCTCTGAGCTTAATTGATTGTTTGCAAATATTTTGTTGCCCGACTATGTAACTTCTTCTACTCTTGGTTTTATGTAGTAAGTTCTACTCAGAGATAGGTTTCAGCAGGTTCTGATCAGTTCTGGAGAACTGGTAGCGGACATTTTGAGTAGTTCGGACAACCGGTAGTAAGAATTCTGACTGGCCCCGCCCCCATCTATTCTCTGCTTCCCGAGTCCCAGCTGATCGGGAGGGAATGGGGATTTTGCAGTAACCTTCCCCTGGATTGGGGAGGGAATGGGGATTTTGCAGTATCCTTTCCCTGCCACGCCCACCAAGCCATGCCATGCCCACCAAGCCACACCCACAGAACCGGTAGTAAAAAATTTTGAAACCCTCCACTGGTTCTACTTAATTCAGGTAGGCAGAATGTAATTCGATTGGCTACTTTTAACTCTTGCTCATTTCATAAAGTGAAAGGTTAGAAAAAGCAGCTTGTTTGTTTTTTTTTTAATACAGAAAAGAAGAAAGCAAAGAAAGAAGTAATATGGGTAAGCATGCTTTCAACATGAAACAGAATCTTTGCCTATTTAGGATTAGCATATCAGGATGCCCGTATATATATTCTGGCTGATATTAAAGTCCGGAAAGATTATTGTAATTATTGCAACACTTCCTGTTTAATCAGTGATGGCTAACCTTTTTGCCGTCACGTGCCAAAAGCATGGGGAACGCGGGGGGGGGGTGTTGCGCGAGTGCATGCCTACACCCCTAATTCAATGCACCCTCCACGCTCCCCACGCTTTTGGCACACAATGGCACACTGGACCCGATAGGCCGTTTTTCGCCCTCCCCGGGCTCCAGGGGCTTTCTAGGAGCGTGGGGAGGGTGAAAACGGCATTCCCCACACACACACCCGGAGGCCCTCTGCAGGCCGGAAACAGCCTGTTTCACGGCCCGAAAATCAGCTGGTTGGTGCACGCATGCAAGCTGGAGCTGAGCTAGGGCAATGCTCGCGTGCCCACCGATATGGCTCCACATGTCACCTGTGGCACGTGTGCCATAGGTTCGCCATCACGGATCTAGATGGTTTATTTTTTATTTAAAAAAATTACATCCCCGCCCCCCATTCAAAGCATCTGATAGGGAAAAACAGCCCAAAAATCAAAATAATGTAGAGTCGCACTGCCTTTTTGCCTTTCTCGATCCAGTTTGATTTATAAGATTTATAAGATTTCCTACTCTTGCCAGTCAGCCTCTCCTAAACCAGAAAACACTTTCTGGTGGCCACATTCCGAGATGGTGATTTTCTTGTGTTATCTTCTATGTTTATGAAAGAATAAAACTTGAATATAAATTAAACATGAAACCAAAGAGCTTGGTGTATTTTCCAAAAAATGTTCCCTCAAATTCTGTGATTTTCTATCTTCAAGTAAGCAATTATACCAGGAGTGAAATGCTCCTGGTTCGGACCGGATCACCCGATCCGGTAGTGATGGCGGCGGGTGGTTCGGAGAACCGGTAACAAAAATCTCTGCCCCTCCCCCCCCCGCTCACCACGCGATCATGAGAGGCTTTTTTTTTACTTTTAAAAGCATTTTTTCTACAACTCTTCCTGCCGAAGAGGTTGAAGAAAAAATGCTTTTAAAAGTAAAAAAAAAAAAAAAAAAGCCTCTAATGATCGCGCGGCTCAGCTGGGATCGTCAGAGCCGTTTAAAAGCATTTTTTCTACAACCTCTTCATCTGAAGAAAAAAAAGCCTCTGACGATCAGGCAACTCAGCTGGGATCGTCAGAGCCTTTTAAAAGCATTTTTTTTACAACCTCTTCGGTCGAAGAGGTTGTAGAAAAAATGCTTTTAAAAGTTAAAAAAAATAAGTTGGCCACGCCCACCCAGTCACATTACCCGCACCAAGCCACGCCCACAGAACCGGTAGTAACAAATTTTACATTTCACCACTGAATTATACGCTGTTTTAATCCAGGGGTGTCAAAACTCAAGGCCTGTGGGCCGGATCCAGAGCGCAGGGTACTTAGATCTGGCCCGCGGGGTTCCCTTGGAAACAGCAAAGGAGCGGCCCGCAGTGCCTCTGCCAACTCTCTGCCTTTGCTTGGCAGAGAGTTGCAGGAGGCCATCACAGCCGAAAACAGAGCTCGAGAGCCCGTTTTCGCTGGCAGAGCGCTCGGGCTACCACCAGTGCCCCCGACACGAGTGATGTTGAGCTGGCCACACTCCCCCAGGCCACACACCAGAGGTGGGTTTCATCAGGTTCTGACCAGTTCTGGAGAACCGGTAGCGGAAATTTTGAGTAGTTTGGAGAACCGGTAGTAAAAATTCTGACTGGCCCCATCCCTATCTATTCTCTATCTCCCGAGTCCCAGCTGATCGGGAGGGAATGGAGATTTTACAGTATCCTTCCCCTGCCACGCCCACCAAGCCAAGCCCGCCAAGCCACGCCCATAGAACCAGTAGTAAAAAATTTTGAAACCCACCACTGACACACACACCAGATCAACCACAACCCTGATGCGGCCCTCAATGAAATCGAGTTTGATATCCCTGTTTTAATCCAACACACAGATTGTAGAATTCTCCTTGATTCCGTGCTGGTCAGCTATTTTTCCTCATTTCTTTAATTGACGGTAGTAAATTGGCCTTTTGTTTTTCCTCTTTAGGAAATGACCAACTTAAATCCTATTTTTGACGGGGAAGCCATAGACCCAGGTATGTTACAAGGAGGCTGAGCAAGAGCGAAAAGGTTTTGAGAGGAAAGCCTTTGAGTCTTGTTAGAGCAAGAGATTTATGCTTCCAAGGCAAATAGCAACGCTTACGCATTTGTTCAAGAGAAAAGTCAAATTATCACGAGTGCTGAAACGATCAATCAAGAAGCTTCTTCCGTGCTGCGGAAAACTGAATTTCCAGAACTGAAGAAGCTTCTTGGATGAGAAGCGGGAAAAAAAAATAACCAAGATAGTCCAGTTACTTTTTTGAAAAGCACTTTGGGGTCAATTTCATTGGTACAAAAAGAGTGTTTGATTGTACCCCGGTTCTGTAAGATCAGGAGGATGAGACGCCCAGAGAAATTGCTACAATAACACCTGTTCTCTTGACTAGCTTTCCCATTGAGGTCAGTTGGATCTCCTTGGCGTCCCATTTCAGAAGGTGGTTTAAAGGGAGGTTTAGTTTTTGTCTGTTTGTTGATTTTGCTTTGAGTTTGGTTGGGGTGTTCTTACTACCCTGTTACCCCCAAAATAAGACATCCCCTGATAATAAGCCCAATTGGGCTTTTGAGCGCATGGCAATAAGGCCAAGCGCTTATTTCAGGGTTCAAAAAAATGTAAGACAGGGTCTTATTTTTGGGGAAACACGATATTGGTGAATATATTATTTATATTATCATGGGCATTTTGTGTTATATATTGTATTTTGTTGTTAGCTGCTGATAATCCTGTAGGATTATACGGGATTACAAATAAAATAAACCATCACATCCAGTGATGGGATTCGCCCAGGGTCAGATTACTTGTCGTGGGAGGCGTGGCCCATCCCCATCCGCCAGCTCCGCCACACATGCGGGAGGAACCTCCCACGATGGCCAACCTGACTCTGGGAAATCCGATTGTTAAATTACCCCCTCCCGCTCACTATCAAAGTGAATCCTGGGCGCTGCACTGCGCTGGAGAAACAGACAATGGAGTGGCTGGCACAAGGGAAGGAGGAGGAGCAGGGAGAAGAAAGAGGGAAGGTGGCCTTCACTTTCCCTCAATTCGGCCGCTTCGTTGCTCATTTCTCCATTGCAGCGCAGTGCCCGGGATACAGTTTGATAGGAGGTGGGTGGGTGTAATGTAACAACCGGTTCGCGTGAACCAGTGTAAACCGGCTGAATCCCATCATTGATCACATCCCTTCCACCCTAAAAGCGAAATTTTAAATTAATCGTTTCTTCCACAGTCACTGGCAAAGTGTATGAATACAACTCAAAATCCGGGGCGCGAAGATGGAAAGACTCCAATGCTCTTTCCAAGATGAAAGGAAGGACTCTGTTGCACAAGTAACAACAACTCCCAAGAGTGGTGAAGGCAGTGTGTCCAAAGCAGAGGTTACCACTAATGGTGGTGAGAGGAATCTCAAACAGAAGCCGAGATCTCCAAAAAGTGGTGAAAAGATATCTACCCACAGCAGAGGCTACCACTACTAGTGGTGGTGAAGGGAATCTCAAACAGAAGCCGAGATCTCCAAAAAGTGGTGAAAAGGATCTACCGAAAGAAGAAGCTGGTGGTAATCAAGGAGATCTTAAGCAGACAAAACCTCCAAAGAATAACCAGACAGGTGACCTATTCCAAATGGAAGATGAAACCAGAAGATCAAATCACCTAGGACCAACAGCCTTAGACAAATTGCAGAAAGCAAATGAGGAACATCCGAGCAACCGATCACCTTCACCCACTCCCCCACGCAGGTCTCCCATCCCCTCTCCCAAAATATATCCCAAATATCAAAATCAGTCTTAAAAGCAGGTGTAATGTGTCCTGTAGGCCAGAAGACGTAACAGCTGATCTGGATGCCTCTTAATGACCAAATCAGGAAACCAACTCTATAGGAAGATTAGTAGTAGTTTTAACCGTTCAGTTGCATCCGACTCGAGTGGTGCGGTGGCCTAGAGGTGGAGCTCGATCGTGAGTTCGATTCTAGGTAGAGGCAGATATTTCTCTCTCTGGGCACACTGAGAATATATCTGCTGTATATATAGCTCTGCATTGGCGACAGGAAGGGCATTCGGCCAGTAAACACTCAACTCCATTCAGTTGCCCAGACTCCACCCTGCAAGGGAGTATGGGGTCGTTAAAAGAGGATGTGTTGTATCCAACTCCTAGTGACTTTATAGGCAAGGGCTCTCCATGCTACCCTGCCAAGCACATCTTCTTTCAGTTGTTCACCTGTGATTTGATCTTATCAAGCCAGTGTGTCCTTTGCTTGTGTCTTCTTTTTGATGGCCTTCTCCAATGAATTTGCATGCATGGCACATCTAAAGTAAATCAGATGTAGTCTTATAATTTTAGCTTCTAGTGACATGTCTGGTTTTATACAATTTAACACCTCTGTGTTAGTTACTCTGAAGCAACGGAATTCAATGGGCTTGGATCATTTGCGGCAACGTAAGGACTCTAAGCTGATGACACATTTAATTCCAACTCCCAGCTCTGCCTGCTCTTCTATGAAAATTGTCCTGTTGTCTCCAGAACCTGTCAGAACCTGTTGGATTTCACCCCTGGACTAAGGTCTAAGCAGACATTTTAGGTTTAAGGTACCCTATGCAACATGGAAAGGGCCTTTGGATGTCAAAGACATGAATAAAAACTGTTCAGCAGCCTGTGTTGACTTTAATAAGATGTCTTCCCTTTGTGAGACACTTAAAAGGTGGCAGAACTGAAATCCTGTTATTCTGGATGCCATCTTGGCTTTTTTGACACACACATACCCCGCCAGCCGAGGGTCGTGACTCCCTCTTATACGGCACTGACAAGTCCCAGAATAAATAGCTATGTGTGTGGGATAATTAGCATTTAAGGAGGTATTACACCAAGCTTTAATAGCAGTAAGAAGTAAAGTTCTTTGTGCTTGCAGTATCCTTTTTTTCCTCACAATGTGTAATTTTACCTTTGGGATTTGCTACCAAGGACAGATCCATTCCCACCCTTTTGACCTTCCAAAATTGCCTTGAGATACGGCTCTGTGCCAACTAGCTTGGAGCCCCAATGGAGGTGTGGCACCCTGCGCCCCATTTTTTTAGCAACCGCGGGCTGCTATTTCCAGATCAGCCCTGTGGGCCAGATCTAAGCAACCTGTAGGCCGAATCCAGCCTGTGGGCCTTGAGTTTGAAACCCCTGCTCTAGAGCAAAAACAAAACTGCTTTAGGATTTGCTAGTATCTGCTGCACCAGGGGTGTCAAACTCAAGGCCTGTTGGCCAAATGCGGCCCACAGGGTGCTGAGATCTGGCCCGCGGGGCCGCCCTGTAAACAGTGACAGCCCGGCCCGCGGTGCCTCTGTCAGCGAAAAGGGAGCCCGGGAGGGCTGTGTGCGGCCCTCCCGGGCTCCATTTTTGGCCGTGACGGCCTCTTGTAGCCCTCTGCCAGCGAAAACAGAGCTCATGCGTGCCCCCCATGGGTTCCGTTTTTACTGGCAGAGGGCTGCAGGAGGCAGCTGCGGCCAAAAACGAGTGACGTCAAGCTGGCCACGCCTACCCCGGGCCCCCCAAGGTCAAACACAACCATGATGCATCCCTCAATGAAATCGAGTTTGACATCCTTGTGCCAGGGGTGGGTTCTACTTACCTTTACCACCGGTTCGCAATGGGATCGCACTTGTGCGCACGCCTTGCTTCTGCGCAGATCACTGATGACGACATCCGGAGTGGTGGGCGGAGCCTACCGCCGGTTTTGCTACCAGTTCTTCCGAACCGGGAGCAACCCACCACTGCCCTGTGCTATACTGTGCAATATTTTCAGGACAACAGGCCCAATTTCTAGAAATGTCAATTTATTAGGCTGAACCGAATCTAATGTACAGGAGTACATGTCAGAGACAATGCTCGAAGTTATTAAGCATCCATGTTTTAAACAGTCAAACTTAGAAGTAACTGATAGCTTTCTTAAGACTGGAATCCTTCCCTCTGTATAACTTGCATTCTCTCAAGATCAGAAAGAACTTTTCCAATTTAAAATAGATCACCGGGGATCGTTTGATGATCAACTCAAAACGGTTAGATTTACCGCCTGCTACCACCAATAGCCTCCCACTGGCCGGTACGCTCTCATAGAGAGGGGCTCCTCTGGGTGCCGTCAGCCAAACAATGTCGACTGGCGGCCCCCAGGGGGAGAGCCTTCTCTGTGGGGGCACCTACTATCTGGAATGAGCTCCCCCGGAGATACGGAGGATCCCGGATCTGCGCACCTTACGTCGCGCTCTCAAGACTTCTTTATTCCATCAAGCCGGCCTGGCCTAAATCTTTCCCCTTTAAAATGTAAATTTTAAATTTGTTTTTAAAATTATTGGGTGTTTTTAATTTGTCTCGGCCAAATTGTTTAATTCGGTTTTATTCTGTTTTTAAATTTTGTATTTATGTATTATATTCTGTGGCTGTTCACCGCCCTGAGTCCTTCGGGAGTAGGGCAGTATACAAATCCAATAAAAGATAAAAGATAAACATAAAGTTATTAATCACAGAGTATTCAAGCTGTAGCCAATCTCTTTTTATATATATATAGTAGCAGTTGAACAATTACACTGAAATCACAAATACACACACACACAAATACCTTTTTGGTACGGAGGAAACTTTTTAAATCAGGCAACTGTTTAAACAGACAGTGGATTTGCCAAATCCTAACCCTCAATAGAATGCACAACAATTATTTTAAGTCTCTCTTTGGGACAAAACATTAAGTACAATATAACACAAGTATGATTGATACAGGCAAAGAATTGTCAAGTGCCGTTTATCATTACAACGAAAATGTATTGTGCCCCAAAAATTCTTTTCTTAAGATGACAACACTGTCCAAGCATTTAACTCAAGTATTAATTTAAGGTAAATAAATTCTTTCAAAAGACTCATTTCCTACCTACACCAGGCGGTGTTTCCCCCCTCTCCCGCCAAATTGTATATTTGTGAAAGCGAATCGTGAAATATTTTGGAATACAGTGTATTCAAACTTGTCAACAAAATGAAACGCGGCTGTTTTGAGCATAAATCTATAACTGTTCAGATTCCTGATGTTGCTGGATAGAATCCTGACTTTGAAGAATTACTGTTCGATTGGTGCAGACTAGTCTCCTTGTATACGAACCAAGCATTTCCACCCCACAGAATCATATTCACCAAGCCAAAAATCTGCAAGAACAGAAGTCTTGGTTAGTTTGCTGTTACAACTGAATCAATGCATACGTTACACAGTTTTTAAGGGGACAAACTTGATTTCATTGAGGGCCACATCAGGGTTGTGTCCAGAGGTGGGTTTCAGCAGGTTCTGACCAGTTCTGGAGAACCAGTAGCGGAAATTTTGAGTAGTTTGGAGAACCGGTAAATACCACCTCTGATGGGCCCTGCCCCCATCTAGTCTCTGCCTCCTGAGTCCCAGCTGATTGGGAGGAAATGGGGATTTTGCAGTAACCTTCCCCTGAAGTGGGGAAGGAATGGAGATTTTGCAGTATCTGTTGTGGTCCGCCAGCAGCCTGCGGAACTGGCAGCGGAGTCGGACAGTGAGGAGACTGGGGAGGACAATGGGCCAGTCCTGGAGTCAGGGGAAGGCCCGGACAAGGGCTCTGCGTCAGAGGCAGAGATGGGGCCAGGGCCATCTGGGAGCGATGCGCGAACTCTGGATCCTCCAAAGGCGTACAGCAGAGAGGCAGAGGAACAGGAGGAGCCTGTTCCTAGTGCACGCATGCGAAGAGCTGCCAGAAGGCAAGAACAGCTAAAGCAAAAAGGACGACTCGGGAGTAAGGCCAGGAGATGATTGGCCCCTCCCATAAGGCTTAAAAGAGCAGCAACGAGCTGTTGGGTTCTTTGTAGAAAAGCAAGTTGATTCCAGTGCTTCTTGTCAGCGTCTCTTGAACTTTGTGGGGGTTTTGCCAAGAAAAGCCTTTGGCAGATTGCCAAAGACATCAAAGGTTGGTGATAAGGCCGAAGGACTGGTTATGAAGAATTTAGTTTTGGACTAAAGCTGAGAATGAATGAATTCTCAGCTGTTTTAATAAAATAGGCTTGTTCAGGACTGAATTGTGTTTGGTAATCACTACATGGGCCTCAGTCACGACAGTATCCTTCCCCTGCCATGCCCACCAAGCCACGCCCACCACAGAACCGGTAGTAAAAAATTTTGAATCTCACCACTGCCACACCCCCGTTAAACCATACGTGACATGCTGTACGTACCACAGACACATTCAGACTTCCCATGCTGGTAACGGAAGCAAACACACAGGAGGATCCATCAATTTTGCATGCCGGTATTTCTTCCATAATGCGGTGACCGGTCGATATTTTGATATCCACTAAAGCTTTTGCCCAGGCAGCCGTACTGACTAGCCACAGAAAGACAGCACAGAGAGTGAAAACGTAATCCTGGAAGCCAACAGCATGAAATTAAATCAGTTTCGTTTATAGATCAAAGCTTCAGATTATCGAACTGAAAGAACTGGCTACGACTATGACATATACCCGTGATGGTGAACCTATGGCACGGGTGCCACAAGTGGCACACGGAGCCATATTAGTGGGCACACGAACATTGCCGTAGCTCAGCTCCAACAGGCATGTGTGCGCCGGACAGCTGATTTTTGGGCCTTCCGGTCCCACCAGAAGTTGGGAAATAGGCTGTGTCCGGCCTCCGGTGAGGTGGGGAAGGCTGTTTTTGCCCTCCCCAGGCTCCTAGAAAGCCTTTGGAGCCTGGGGAGGGTGAAAAATGGGCCTATCACATGTTAAAAGAAGGGGGGGAGGGTGTGCGTGCATGCGCACGGCACATTGAATTATGGGTGTGGTCACGCACGTGGGCGACCTCCCCGCGCTCCCCCCACTTTTGGCACATGACAGCAAAAAGGTTAGCCATCCCTGGTGTAGGATCTCCTGCTTGGGCAGGGGGTTGGACTAGATGACCTAGAGTTAGAGTTTAGAGTCTATTGGATTTCTATACCGCCCTTCTCCCGGGGGACTCAGGGCGGTGTACAGCCACATTAAAACACATGAATTTATAAAATTTAAAACCAATTAAAACAAATATATATAATTTGGCCCTCAATTAAAACACACATACACCCATTTAAAATTCATATTAGGCCAGTCCGGCTTGCTGAAACAGGAAGGTCTTTAGGGCATGGCGAAAAGTACGCAGGTGATGGCTAACCTTTTTGACATCGTGTGCCAAAAGTGGGGGGAGTGCGGAAGGGGCGCGCGTGTGTGTGCCCACACCCATAATTCTATGTGCCCTGCCCCTGCGCATGTGTGTGCGACCCCCCCCCTCGTTTTTGGCACGCGATGGCCTGGTGGGCCCGTTTTTCGCCCT